TCTATTCTCTTTCTAAACAGAGGGAACGGGTGGGCTGTCTGTTAGGAACCTCTAGAAAGGATGCCAGCAGCGGCAATAGGAAGGGGTACAGGGGGGAGGAGGGTAAGATTAGGAAAGCCTCTTCTGTCCTTTCTGTGTCAAAAACCTTTGACTCTACCCTTCAGAGGTCAAGAGATTTTTTTCTAAATGAAAATAATACTATTCTTGGATCTAACTATGGAGGTAACATATGTGCACTGTGAAAAACACCAAACAAAATGAGCTAATACAGAAATTCAAATAGCTCACCCATATTTCCATCACCCGAAGAAATGCACTGCCATTTATATTTTGGCATACATCATTTAAAATTTCTGATTCACACAGAATTTATTCATTTTCTTGCTTACATTACAAAAATGGGATCAAAACCTGCTGCTTTGTAACCTGTTTTATCCCCTCACTGAGTTTATTTCTGTAGCAACAATTATAAACCAAGATCGTCATTTTTAGTGGCTGCATAGGATCCTGTAACTTACTTAACCAACATCCTATTGTTGGACATTTAGATTGTTCCCAATTTCTAGATGCTGCTGCAATAAGTCATCTAGCCCAGATATCTTATAAAGAAAGTTTTAAAAGTTTCCCTTTCCTGAAAAATTTTGAAACTAACCCCTTCACCACACATTTTATGGGAATCTATTTTTCTGTACATTCTCAAGGTCTTTAAGGTACGCATGTGCAGTCATTTTAGAAAATAATGGTCCTCAAAACAGTACCACCTGCATCATTAGGTAATAGCAGCTCTTTAACAATAAGGGTGGGTCTTTTGCATATACTTCAATATAATATACCATGTTAGAAAATATTTCCTGTAATTATTATTGGTAAACCTCATAAGGATAATTTTTATCAATTTTCAGCTCATTCTATCACTCCAGGAAAAATTGGAATAATCTTAATCTCTTATAGGGAAATCCAATTTATATGAAGTTATGCGTCTATAAAAAAAACAGCTGGACTGTGCTCCAAATGACTGTAATGGAGCTGATATGATATTCAACAATAAAGTTTTCTCTAATCAAATTGAAGTGAGCTCGAAAAATTCTACCTAGAAAAAAATTCTCAAATGCCCTCAAGTGAGTTTTAATAAGCAGGCTCTCCTCTGTTTAGAAAAGAGAATTCTCTTTTTTAATGCATTTGGGTTGATTAATCTGAGTTTTCGGTAGGACCCAGAGGCTATATGTAACAATTAGTTAGAAGTAGCTTTCTGGTTACAAGTATCAGAAATCAGTTTATACTCTTAAGCTAAAATGGGAAATTTGTTATGGGAATACAGAGAGGGGTCGTGGGGAGGTTCTGACACAAAGACCTGGAAAGCTGGCCCACCGCTCTCACCCGGGATGCTCTCTGCTTCTCCTTGAACATCAGCTCATTCTCTTTCCCTGCATGCTGGCCTCTCCTGACTCTCTGCTGTGGGGGAGGCTCGCCTCAAAGCTCACTGATTGTTTCCCTCAAGAGCTTTTCTAGAGCCTTTGTTCGCTTCCCCTTCCCACCTGTGAGCTCTGTAAAATTTTCACCTTCATTGATGATGGCTCGGTGGCACTTCCTAGCCTAGCATTCCTCCACCAGGGACAACGCCAGATCTGGATGGGACCTCGAAGTCCACACAATAGTGAGGACCATTTTTACCAAGTGATAAATTTAGTATAAAATATGACATTCTAAATACATAATGTTACAGAAGAAAAAGTAAATGACAATAATTATGAATTTTTGAAAGTTGACATAGACCACAAACATCACCAAATCTAGAAAGTCACATCATTTAAAAAGTTAATTCCTTTAAATACATCTAAAACACTTTTCTCCTCAGTTTTTGACTTGAGAGATTTTAATCACTCTTTCATATGACAATGATTTTGTAATAATCATTTTCCACAGAGTAAATAGAAAAACAACTCAATCTTTCCTCTAGCACCGTTGTTTAAACTTTCAAAAATTGGTGGTTCAGAAAGATTTTTTTCAGCGTCCCCCAAATTATTGATGATGTCATGTAATTGTTTCAGGTTGTTGTCAAATCTAGGCAGACTATCAGGTTTCTTTCCTATATGAGCTGTTAAGACTGGCTTCTGGCTCCAAATATTTCAAAGCTGTTTCTCCTCACTAAACACATGCATCCAGGGCTGGACTCTGTAGGATGCTTTCATCCTGCAGGACAGCCTCTGGCTCAGCTCTGGTGTCAGGACCTCTCACCTAGGAGAGGGCCAGGGAAGGAGGGTGCGCAGCAGCTCAGCACGGAGGCTGGCCTTGAGCAGGTTAGTCACCGGGGTGGGAGAGAGCCAGGCGATGGTGTGTCTTAAGGTAGGTGAATCTGACAAGGAGTTGACTGGAAGTTGAGGAAGTTCCTGCTAATGACTTTAGATTTTACTGTGAGACAAAGTTGGCTACAAGAGAGAGAAAGAGGGGTTAGGAGTAGGGTTGTCAGATTTAGCAAATAAAAATAGAAGACTTGGGGAAAGGTATGGCTTAGTGGTAGAGTGCATGCCTAACATGCACAAGATCCTGGATAAAATCCCTGGTACCTCCACCGAAAGTAATAAATAACTAGATAAACCTAATTATCTCCCCTGTGCCCCCAAAATTACAATTAAAAAATTAAATTAAATAAATATTAAAAATAAAATAAATAAAAAATGAAAATAGAGGATGAGTTAAACATTGCATGGGACATACACTAAAATGTATCCATGGTTTATCTAAAATTCAGATTTCACTGGGCGTTCTGTATTTTGTTCACAAGTCTAGGTGAGGCCTTCAAGAGAAAAGGAAAGCCCTGGTATAGTCGTTGAGAGGATGAGAGGGCTGACCAAAGCTTAGTCCAAGGAGGGCCCAGTGGAGATCAGAAATCAGAAAACTCCTGGTAGTGGTGGGGTGTTTCTCAAATGGAGGGAGCTCAGATGCTCAGGTACATTGGTATTCATACAGCCTGTGATTACAGAAACAAGGCTGAAGATATATGATAAAAGATGGGATTCAACTAGGTGTCTCTTCTTTTTATGCTGACTATTTGTGCTTTCAATAAAACCAGGCTGCAGAAATTTCAGAAAGAAAGATGTACTGATTATAGATTGGCATCCAAATCACAGACTATGTTAACGTAAGAATATTTTATTCTATGCTTCCCAAACATGCCATAATATATTCACCCAAAGCAATAAATCCCAAGCTGCACCAGCAAATTATAAGCAAATGATAGGAGCTGAAGTTTCCTTTCAAAAGAGGCTAAAGAACAGATAATTTAGAAAGAACAGATTTTACTGGAACGTCAATAGTTTTCATGACACAGATACTTAAACTACTCATTTTCAACATACCCATATAAAGAAAATTATAAAAGTTTTTTTTTTAAAGAAAGGATAATTTGACAGATGGAGTCTTTTTATGGGAATCAGTGGAAGTGATAAAATTGAATAAATTACCAAGATTTTATCTCCATTTCTGTAATTCTCCCTAAAGATTTAGAGATGGCAGACTGAATCAACTGAGAAATAAATTTGCATGTTTATAACATGTCTAAAACAGGAATTAAAGACAAAAACTTCCAACTTGTTTTCAAAAGTGGTTTGTCTTGAGGAAACCTGCTTGTATGAGATTACACATTTCCTAACCAAGTTTCATCAAAAGGACCTGTACCACCAAAGTTACACAAACGTGGGCTTGGGGAACTGTTTACTATCTGTTATTATAATCAGTGTGAAGGACAAATCATAATAACTGTGAACTAAAAAAACCTGGAGCAACCCAAAAAAGGAACTAAATTCTAGGTAATTTTGTATGTGAGATGATTGTGTTATGACCAGGCGAGAGTAAATTTTATAATGTAAACTGAGCAAATCGTAAAATTTAGGATGCTTGATGCTTGTGAATCTAATTGTACTGCAGTGTGTTTGAAGAAAGACCACTCTCATCTCCCTAAATCCAAGGTGGTTTAAAAAAAAATCAGGATTTATTTTCCTACTGAGTGTTTTCCTTCTTTATGTAGGATTCCAGTTCCAAATGAGCGTGGTTGCTGTGTGTGGAAGAGAGATGTGTTGAGAGAATATGGCCACAGGGAAATAAGAAATTGGAAAGAAATCAGTGCCTCTAAACTAAGTACACTGATGTCTTCCTTTGAGGAAACACTAAGATCTTATTTGGATAAAACATGGCTCTAGAACAAACTGTTGGCTTGGCTGAAGAGAGAAGCTGAGAAAATGATTGTAACTGCATTTTTCTTTTCCTTCTGCTGAGAGCAGAGCAAATCTGCTGGCCCAGGCCACCTGGATGAAGGCATATCCTCTGCTCACCTGGAGACCAGCAGGTCTCTCCCGGGGCTGCCCAGTGTCCTGCAGTAGCAGGGGAACTCACTGCTTTTCTGATGGAGTGAGAGGAGTGAGGCCTTGGCAGCAGACAGGGTGTAAATCCCAGCACCATCACTTACCAACTAGGTGACTCTGGCGAAGTCACTTCAGTTTTCTGAGCCTCAGTTTCCACAACCATAAGATGAGAATAATAATTTGTAATTTGCAGAGCTGTTGTGAAATAAAGTGAAGCAAAATATGAAAAGGCCTTAGCGGTTTCTGGCCTAGTGAGGGCACTGGCTCAGTGTAAACTCCTCTAATGCCTCCTCCCCCCACACCCCCACTGGGCTGCTTCACTTTTGGTGCCAGGTTCCGAGAACAGCCTGCTCTGCCTTCTTTTCTTTTTTCTTTTTTTAACTCTTCTCATCTCCATGTCAGATCCTACCCTGGCCCCTCTCCAATTCTGGTGTCACGTGACATTGTCTGCCTAAAGGTTTCCTAGGCCAGAAACCTCAGGGCTGTCTTTTCTTCTTTTCTTGCCCCTCTGCACCTCCTCCCCTGCATTCTGACTCAGTGATCCCATCTATAATTGTGGCTCGACCTCATCTGTAGGGAAGGCTTTCAAATCCACTTTGAGCTCTGATTCCTCAGGCCAGTCTTTGTCCTCCCTGTTCCTAGATCTCAACCGTCGAGAGGAAACTGTACCATCACATTCAGCCATGTGGCAAACACAGCCTGCAAAGGTGTATTAACATCACCTGTTTATGAAGCATCTGGTAGGTCCATGTCTCTGAACGAGGATGCAGCACAGGAGGGAAAAGATGTGGTTCTTGTCCTTGAGGACTCCTGGGTCAAAGAGGGTTCCAGTGCCAGGTACATGCACGGCATAGCCATAAGCAGGTGTCACTGGAAATAGAAAGTTATTTCCATGTAAACACTATGTCACCTTGACCTTTAAGGCTATCAGTGGAGCCAAGAATAAACCACTGGCAGCACCATCACGTGGGAGAGGATAATGGAAAGAAAGAAGGAAGGAAAGGAAGAAAGAAAGAAAGAAAAGGAAGGAAGGATAGAGAGGGAAATAAAGGGAGTGAGGGAGGAAAGAAGGAAAGAAGGAAGGAAAGGGAGGGTAGGAAGGAAAGGAGGAAGGAAGGAAAGATTTAAGAACAGAAAGGCAGAGAAGCCATGAGAAAAGCGGAAAGCAGGGATGTATATATGATAACTGTGCCCCCAGTCGAACTACCATCTAATGCTTGAGTCTCCACTGCAGTTTGCACCCAGAGGTGTTACACTTCTGCCTGAAAAATTCCAGGGCCAGGAAACTCACCCATGAATACTCCTGGAGCCCATTCCACACTGGACAGTGAATGACTAGAATGTTCATCTAATCATGTAGAACCTAAAATTGCCTTTCTGTCTTTTTTCCCACTGGTTTTGGTTTCTCTCTGAGCCCTAAAGCTAAGCACACTTCCTGTCCTGGCATTCACAGCCTGCATGATCAGGGCCCTGTCCGCTTCTCCCATGTTGTCCTGTGTGTTTCCTGCTTCTGCACTGTCCTGTTGTTTGCCAGGACTCGTTTTGGTTCTAACACACCAAGGACATTCCTGCCCAAGAGCCTTCTGACCAGGGCTGGCTTTCCTGCTCTTTGTATGAAATTTAGGCTTGAGCTCAAGTGCCACCTCTCTAGAGGAGCCTTCCCTACACCATAGCTAAAATAGCCCCCTTTGGGGAGGCTAAATTTGATGACATGAAAAAAAAAAGTCTTGATGACAAAGCCCCTGTAAGCCAAGTCAAAAGCCAATTAAAAAAAACAAAAACCTGTGAAAATATTTGCATATTAGATATTACATGGTTAATTTCTCTAAACTATAAAGGCTCTCTACAGTTCAGTAAGATAAAGACCAATAGGGTTATTGGTCTAATGCGAAAACAAATGGGCAAAGGATTTGAACAGTTCGCCAAACACACAACCCACAGATGTGGTTCAAACATGTAAAAAAGTACCCAAACTCACCTATGGTTAAAAAAAAATTAAAAGAGAGAGACAGATGTATAATTTTCCATCTGTAAGATTGGCAAAAATAAAACAATAGTATTGTATCAGCAATGGTATGGCAAACAGTAACCCTCATAGCCTGCTGGTAAGAGTGTAAACTGGAACAATTTGTATAGAAGGTAATTTGATGATATTTATTGAAATTACAAAGGCACAAATGCTTTCACCCAGTGATTTTTTACTTCTAGAAATCTTCCCTACAAATATGCTTCTGAGTGTGGGAATTGATGTATGTACAAAGGTGCTCACGGCAATGCTACATATTGTACGAAGAGGCTGGAAAGAAGGTACAGATCAATCAGTAGGGGAATGGATAGATAGATTACGGTGCATTCCTACAGTCCAGTAGTGTGCAGTTATTAACAAGAATGAAGCAGATATGTCTGTGGCTCTGGGGTACATTGAGTGTATTTTGTATTGGCTTGCAAACATTTTATATTTGCTATTTTGTATTTTTTTTTTCTTAAAGAGGGCCCCTAAAATTGTGTCAGCTTCAGACTCAATAAAACCTGGATATACTCCTGGCCCCAGCACACGAAGAGGAGTCACACCCCGTCAGTGACAGAGGTTCTCACTGCGGTGATGGGAGGAAGAGGAGGAGGATGTGGAGGGAGATAGGTGTGGGTGGGGATGGCTCAGAATTGAGAGGGTGAAAAAGTTGCACAGGTGTCTACTATATATAAAATAGATGAACAGCAAGGACCTACTGTATAGCACAGGGAGCTATATTAACATCTTTTAATAACCTATCCTGGAAAAGGATCTCAAAGGAATATAAATATATGCAAAACTGAATCACTTTGCTATAGACCTGAAACTAACACAACATTGTAAATCAACTCAACTTCAATGAAAACAAAAGTTGCAAGGTGATTTGATGTGCTGCACGCCTTTGAGATTGCGACTCTGCATTCAACGGGGAGTCCCCAGTGCTACACAGCCTCTCCCACACCCCAGCTTCTCCTTAAAGCTCCAGAACCACTCGCGCTGTCAGATGAAGACTGACCTCTGCAGCTTAAGTCCGGTGGCCTCCATCCATTTCATCGACCTCCCTGCCTCTGTCAGCCTAGTTACCTCAGCCCTGGGGGTGCCCCTAAGATTTTGCTGGGACCAGCCATCCTAACTCCAGGGTTGTTTCCTCTCCCTGGCTCTTCTGACTGCTGACTTGAAACACGGCTAGTATTCACCTCATCTTTGATGAGGAGATGGCAGTCTACCCCCCCCCCAAATGAATGAATAAAAATAGCTAAAAGCGTTCTGTAAAGCTGTCTTTCTCGTTATGAATATTATTTTGTGGCGTCTCTCAGGCTCTGTCTTCCTCTGAGCTGCCTTCAGACTTATAAAACGAAAGCACCTTCAGGCAGTCCCCACAGCGAAGATTCAACTCTACAATGCTTTGAGGAAAGCAGTTTATTTTTTTAAAAATCGAACTGAACCTTAAATACAGGTATACTGAGGGTGAAGCAAAAGAGATATGGTAGAAACCAGCTGCTTTCAGTCCATCAGGGAAATTGCGCCATCATCCACACAGCTCCACTCCATTTCCCTTCCCAGTAGGAGCCAACACTCAGAAGGAAGCAGACGCAGACCCAAGGCCGACTCAGAGCTCTCAAGTTAGAGAACAGGGGCCATGCTGTGTGAGCCACACGGTGAAGACGCAGGCCTGCCTTATGTCAAGTCTCAGCTCTTGAGCAGGGAAAGGCCCACAGGGAGGCAGGTGCATCGTCAAAGCCCCAGAAGACTCGAGCCTGTCATAAGGACCACAGAAGGGGTGCCAGAATTCAGCCTTAGCTTCCCAGGGATCTCACCAACCTGTCACCCGGAGAAACTAGCGAATGACAGCAGCCTCCACAATGTGTGGGTCACACGGCACTTTCAAGATGTCTGGGGACTAAGTAGGGAACCAAAATGCCAGAGGTTCCTGCAAAGGCAGCCTTCCTTCATTGATCAAGAGTAGGCAGGATTGGATACTGGGCAGGAGTAGTACATCAGAGACTTCTCAAGATGACTCATTGGACGGGAAGTCTCAAAAGGCATCTTTTTCTACTGTGAAATGGTGGACGCGGTGTGGAAAGATGAGAGTCCTTTCAGGAGAAGAACAGCCTTGTGTTGTAGCTGCAGAAGGGCTGGCTCTTTAGGAGATGTGATGCTGACCCCAAGCCCCAGCGTCTTCCCCTCTACAAACTCCAAGGCCTCTACCTGGTCTCTGCTGGACCCTTCCTCCCCCTCATTCTCCACACAGCTGCCAAAGCTGGCTTTTGGAAAAGGAGCATGAAACCACGCTCCCTCCACAGCTGAGAATTCTCCAGCAGCTCTCGATAGCATTCTTTGAACAAAAATAAGTAAGTAAAACCCAGGGATCAGCAAACATTTTCTGTAATGGGCCACATAGCATTTCAGGCTTTGTCCAACTCTGAGTCTGCTGTGCTGTTGTACCGCCAAGGCGGGCTGTGCTGGGGTGAGGCAGGCCAATTGTCTCCTGAAACAGAGTTAAAGGAGACTGTCACCCTCCAGGCTGTGAAAGCAGCCACCAAAACACACAAGGCGGCCCCAGGCTGCAGGCACCAAGTTCTCCTGTCAGAGCCCTTGTATTTGCTCTTCCCTCTTCTTGAAATCCTCTTTCCTCAGATTTTTGCATAGATGGCTCCACGTGCTAGGTGACTCAGGACACAGATTAAAAGTATATTTGGAGGATCAGCAAAGAAAGAGCTCTAAAAATAAGAAAATACTTTGGAACGAATTTGATTGTAGATATTTCCCCGAAAGTAGTTCCTATGGGGGTGGGGGTGGTGAAAGCAGAACTTGGTTGACGTCCTTTGTATTGATTTTAAGATGTGGTTGGCTTTTTCGATTTTCAGTTGCCTGGGGGGTGGGAAGGAGGGAGGCCCTCATCATCCTGCCGTGTGTAAGGCCTCTTAAAGTCTCACCGTGGCCCCTTTTGGTCACCGTGTCCGCCAGTCACGTGCTGTCTTCTCAGGGAAGGTTTCTCCAGCCGATGACGTGGTGGTACACCTTCACCACCTGTTATGTTGCGCTGTTGTGTTTGCTCAAGGCAATTAATCACTCTGCAATTATTGTGCTTCTTTATGTGCTTCCTTGTTGACTATCTCCCTTTCACATGGAGGCCTCAGAAGCCCAGGAATTCTGTCTGTCTTGTTTACCTCTGCATCCCGCACCTAGTACAGTGTCTGGCATGTGGAAGACATGCAAGAAAATATCTGTTGACTGACTCAGTGAGTGAATGCCCAGCTGAATGATGGAAGAATGCAAGTGCTCAAAGTGTTTGAAGAATGAGGTCTGGTCCTAAGTGAAATTCTCTGCTGGTCCTTCGTAGAGCCTTAAAAGTGACTCAAAACCCAGCTGGCTAACTGAATCTGCATTCGCTAGTGGACTGAAATCGATTTAGGCAAAGCACATTTGTCAACAGAAGAATTTGGACCAAATGAGATTTGGTAGAACATTTTGCTGCTGCATCATGAGAACGTTTTTTGGTTCTTCATCTTTTCACAGTTTGGTCTCTTTTTCCAAAATGTTTACTTTTTTCTTTCTACTGTTTAGATTTTAGTTAACTTTTAGCTTTTTCTCTAGGGAAACATAACTTAAACCTCAAACAGTAAAAAACTTGATTGAAAAAGCAGATTTCCTTGAGTTCTATGCATGAGTATAGAAACAGTTAAATAGGCAGTGCACTCATTCAGTGTGTAGTGTACGTCTGATTTGTGTCAGGCACCGTTCTGGGTATTGGAATTACTATCGTGAACACATTCCTATTTTGTCAGGTGATAAGGGAGGCCTTTTTGAAGAAATAACATGGAGGAAGTGATAAGAAGCTGCCCTTATGAAGGGTAGGAAAAAAAGTGTATTCCAAGGTGAAGATAACACATATGCAGCATGACTGAGGTAGGAAAGAGCTTGGCTTGTTTCAAGAACTGAAAAAAAAAATTGTGGTGTGGCTGGATCACAATGGGTGAAGCAGACAAGGCACAATGACAAGGCACTGGGGCTTCCTGGGCCACAATAATGAGTTTGGATTTTATTTTAAGTGCAGGGGTTTCACAAAGCAGAGTGACACCATCTTATTTTAGTCTAAAGAAGATTGCTCTAGTTTCTGTGTAGAGAATGGGTTGATGTGGGGCAAGTGTAAAAGCGGGGAGACCTGAGAGAGAGAAGGCTGTTATGGTGATCCACGTGGGAGATGATGGTGATCTGGACCGGTGGTGGCCATGGAGACAGGGAGAGGAGGAGAGGTTGGAGTGACAACTTGGCAGTCGAACTGAAAGGCGTTGTCGGTGAATTCCGTGTAGGAACTGAGAGTACGCAGGCATAGCAGCCAGTGTCCTGATGGGAAAACAGACATCATTTTAGGTATTTCAAATGGAGGGAATTTAACCTAAGTAATCAGTCACAAAAGTGTTGGAAAGGTTGGAGGAAGGAAAAGGGGAAGAGGTGATAACCTAGGGATAAGAATCTGCTGGGAGTCAGGACCACTCCTAAGGCTGGAGGAAACTAGGGAGGTGGAGATGTTATCAGAGCCCAGGAGTCTGGCATCTGCCTGCGGGAAGCTGCTGCTGCTGCGGACACTGGCCACACCCTAACTGTGGACGCTGTTGCTGCAACCGCTGAAGGTGACTGGAACCCACAGCTGCTGGCTGCTGCCACAGCCACTGTCAGGAGCTTAAAAAAAAAAAAAAAGGAAACGAGGGGGTCTCGCCCTCGTTTCATCCAGTTTTCCACCAGAGCTTCCCACTGGCAGCATTTAACTGGGCCAGCTGGCAAGGGAGTCTGGGAAATGCAATTCACAGGATTCCAGCCACCTCCAACAGAGCAGTGCCTAGAATGGCAGGGGTGGTACTCAGCACCAGCAAGCCAGCGACCAGCACACAGAAGAACTGAAGATTTGTTCTAAGTAGGGAAAACAATCCCTTATTATTCTTTAAAAAATATATATATATATATTTATTTCTTTTTACAAAAGCAGTATGTGCCCATTAGAAAATACAGGATAAAAATAGAACGTAAAAAAACTACCATATTCCCACTTACCCAGAAACAATCATTAATAATATCTTGGTTATTCAGAATCATTAATCAGTCTCTTTTAAAGAGGGACTCTAACTCCACATTCAGTTTTGTAACCCACTGTACTAAATTTATGCAATAAAACATTTGCTGGACATTGACTTTGTTATAGCCAGCTCCCAGTGTTGAATATTTATGTTCTACCAACGTTTCCCTATTACACATGTAAAAAAGGATTTATTGCTTGAAAACAAATTTGTAGTTTAAGAAAACAGTTCATGAAGAGTACAGTTGGAACCTCCAATTTGACTAGTATGAGGTTATTTGCTTAGTTAGAAAGAAAACAAATATTTTAAACGTAAGGTACAATGCCAGGTCTTTCCTTATTCTATTCATTTCCTTTGTTGAGGAGAAGAAACACACAGTAGAATTTCAGAGCTGGAAATGTGCAGCCTGGAAATGGAAAGAAGCTTTAGCTACAGAATATACTAGACCATCCCGCTGCCCCGTCTGCCTGGTCTCCATGGAGTCACGAAGGAACTGGTCCTCTGGAGTGTGCAGAAGAGGTGACATCTTTAAGAGTGGACACAATTTACCATGGCTTCAGGTGACAATTTCTCTGGTATTATCAGTTACAGTGCTTTTGACAACTAGTAGTTGAAACCTGTGACTTAAATTGGTTTTAAAAATGAGGAAATGCATTATTTCACATAACTGGAAGTCCAGAGGTAGGACTGGCTCCCAGAATAGTAAGATAAGCTGCCCAGTAGTGTCACCAAGATCCCAGGTTCTTTCCATGATCTAGTCCATGCTCTCCGAGTTGGCTTCATTCTGAGACCGACTCCACTCATGGTGACTAGACATTGGCCAGAGGCCAGAGAGCTGCCTGTTTTCTTTCTCCACATTCAACAAGAAAGCAAGCTGGATCCTTCCCTTCAATCTAAGTTCTTTTCAGTTTGAGCAGACCAGTGGTTCTCAATTCTGTTGCCCACTGCTGTATTGTTTATTTATTGCTGATTTCATTTCTCCTTGTTCACTTCATTATTTATTAATTGGTGATGATGACAATATATTATTTATTTCTTTGCTATTTTATTTTTTAAACTGCAATACCTAGGCCTTTTCACTAGAAATAATAATTTATTCATCTGGGGCGGGGCCCAGCTGGAAGTCATTTTACAAGCTCTCAGCTGATTCTAATGTACACCCGGGGCCCAGAACCACTGGATTAGGCTTTTTTAGGTCACCTGCCCAGGCCTAGACCAGAAGTCACCAGGGTAATGCCATGAACTGATTGGCTTAGAAAAATGGACTTTAGTGTGACCCCCCCACACACCAGAAACAGCTCCTGGGACCCCATCAGAGAGGCAAATTCTCAGGCATTACCCAGACCTACTGAAACAGAGCAGGTGGGGCCTGGCAAATTGTGTTTAAACAAGCTTGCCAGGTGATTTTCATGGATACTGGGGTTTGAGACCCACTACCTTGGATCAGTCAGGCTTCTCCTCCGGAGGTAGAGAGGAGATAAATATGAGAACAAAATCGAGGTCTTCTAGAACAGTGAGCCCCAGGGCACTGAGCCTTCTAGCACTGCCTTCCCCCTCCGCCTCCAGGCCAGAAGAGGGCAGGGAGGGATCAGCGATCTGAACCCCTGAGACCCCTGGCTATAAAGAGAGGCCTCCCAGCTGTGCCATCAAGCCTCAGCCAGGGCAATGGGCTTAACAGTGGGCCAACCTAAGGGATGGGAAGAAGACATGCTCTATAGGTAGGTATCCATTCCTTCCTGCCCTGGGGAATCTGGAAGTTTCTGCAGGAGCTAAAGGGCTGAAAAGGCAGAGCTGGCATGTACTCTCCTGAAAACCCTCTAAACTCATTTCAACCACTGTACAATGTCAATAGGAACCTGGAAAAGAAAAAGGCCATTAGGTAAAAACAAAAGAAATCTGAACACGATAAGGGCTTTAGTTAATCATAAGATGTCACTCTTCATTTATAAATTGTGACAAATGTGTCATACCAATAACTGATGTCAGTAGGGGGACCTGGGTGTGGGGCATATGGGAACTCTGTCTAAATCTTCACAGTTTTCCTGTAAATCTAAAACTTGTCTAAAATAAGGTTATTTTAAATACAGTACATTAAGATGTGAAATTCTAATGAATGAAAACCCCTTTGGAAAAAGCTTTATAAAACTAAGCAAAAAAGTTCCTTTAAAATATTCCGTACTAATATAAATTTGACACTGCTGTATTTTTATGATTGATGCCATGTTTTGAGCCAGAGCCAATGCGTTTTAGACATTTTCAGCTTAAACAAGAGTTGAATTGGAAAATACTAATGAATATTCCTGATAGGTTGCACTTCCCAGAATCTGCACACAGCAGAATTATCAAGGAACAAATGAGGGAGGTTTAAACTTGTCCATATGCTTAGAAATAATTAAGGATTATAGGAAGTCACTTTCTTTGCCATCCCCTTAGACTTGGAAAGGAGGGGGCTGACTGGACTCCACAGGGAATGGGACATACTCAGATGCATCTTTCTCTAAACCCAATTCATAGTGGTGAGCTCAAGCATAAATTCCCTTCAGGCTCTCTCTTCTTGTTTCACCAGCTCCATTTAAGTTAAATGCACATCCTGTGTCCTGAGGGGTGAGCCACGCAACCCAGTGGACTGATGTGTGGATCATTACCAAGGATTACTATCAACAGATGGTACATCACTGCATATATGTGGGATTCCTGGAAATGCTCGGCCATAATTGGAATGGAGCAAGGAGCAAATCCTAATTTGTAGTTTGGACGGTTACTCTTCATGTAGTCAACTGCATAACTTATGGTAAGTTTTGCTTATCTCCCTTCTACACCAAGTATCAGTAAGGAAACCAATAGTTAAAATTGTTATTGCAGGGCAAAGTGCTATAATTAAGAGTTACAATGAAAAAGAGTACTTAAGGGCAAAAACCCTTGCTATGCCAAGCAAGTGGCTCAGAATGATCCCCCACCCCACCCGCAATCTTATCACATTGGAATCTCTTAGATTTTGTCCGGCGTGAACTCTCACTGTGTGAACTTAGACAAGTTTGTTAGCCTCTCTGTGCCTTGCTTTTGTCATCTTCACAATGGTGAAAATAATAACTTCTTGGTGGTGGAAGAGGAGTTGATAGAAATCATGTTTATAATACTTTCAGTGCAGTGCCTGGAATGTGGTGTTAAAAAAGTGTTTGATTAATCAATAAATAAGATCGTCTTCACCCACATTAAAGCCATTCAATGTAATGATAATCCTCTTGGTGATGTGGCATGGCAAAGACACAAAAAGAATATTTTTTAAAGAATATTTGGGAGCCAGCTTGGAGGGAGGGAACCTCTGTCACAGTAAGATGTTGAAGGGGCAGAAGAAATGTAAATTATTTTCATCAGAAATAAAAAAGGATGCGATGGAGCCCTCCCATGTTATCAGTGAAAATGTAAAATGGTGCAGCTAATATGGAAAAGTCTGGCGGTTCCTCAAAAAGTTAAATGTAGAATTACCATATGATCCAGCAGCAATTCCACTCCTAGGTATTTAACTCCAAAGGATTGAAGACTGATACCCAGATATTTACCTACACATGTTCATAGCAGCATTATTTGTGATAACCAAAAAGTGGAAATAACCCAAATGTCCATTAGCTTGTGATGGATAAATAAAAGTCATATATTCATACAATGGAATAGTGGAATATTAATCAGCTGTGAAAAGGAATGAAGTACTGATACATGGTATAACAAGGGTGGGCCTGGAAAACATTTTGCTATGTGAAAGAAGTCAGACATACAAGGTCACATATCTTATGATTTCACTTACAGGGAATATCCAGAATCCATGGAGACTGAAAGCAGATTGGTGGTTGCCAGGGGCTGGGGAATTGGGGAATAACTGCTTAATGGATATAGGATATTCTTTTGGAGTGCTGAAAATGTTTTGGAACTAGAGAGAGGTGATAGTTGCACAATATTGCAAATGTACTAAATGCCAATGAATTGAACACTATTTTTGGTGGATTTGACCTCATTTCAAAAAACCACACATACATACGTAATAGGACAAGAGTGCATGGTCTCTGTTCTAGTTGAGAACACAGAAGCAATCCAGGCTTCCTCTTCCACTGACAAGGGACTCCTTCTTCAGGAAAGTTGCCTAATAATCTCCAGCCCCTCTGGGCCGTGGTTTCCTCATCTGTAGGAAAATGAAGTTGGACCACTAGGATCCCTTCCAGTTCAAATTCCAAGGCAAAGAAATTTGACTTCCTTCTTTTCCCCCTTCTCATCCACATGCCTGAAAATGACTCTAGCTATCCTGCAGATGTACACTGGAAGACAATGTTGCTGAACTTAAATTACAGGGAAATTAATTTTAGTTATTAATAGGAAAAGTATGTTAACATTTATTATGACAAGGACACAAATTAATGGACAAATAACTAAAACAAATGCACTTTAACTATGAGCTTGTGTCTGTCACTGATGCTCAAACTCCTCTGAGCCTGTGCTTGGCTCCAGCCTGTCTGCACCCCTTGGTGTAGTCACACTCTGTGTTTCTTTGCCAGTCACGGTGTCTCAGGCTCCTCTGCCAAATGCAGCGCTGGCAGCCCCAAGTTGATTGGGAGGCCCTTGATTGATTAATAGGTGCCCCTGTCAAAAGGGATGGTGGGAAGGGATTGAATACCTCTCTAAACTGCCCATGCTTGGCAACCAAAGTAATCTAGAACAGCTTAAGGGTTGCAGCCACTAAAACTTGCTGAATAGACTATTGCTCTGGTCACTGCTAGACTAGTTACAGCTTTCTCCTAAAATTATGGAAATATTATATGAATAGTGAGCCAAGTTTACCCAGTTCTGGGATTTAAAGTCCTGGATCAACATGTTCATTCTGGGAGGTAATTTTCTGTATTTTACTGACCACCACCCCCTCCACCTTCTACTGCGGTTTTCTGGTTCTCTGTAAATTCCCTAGTTATTCTGAGAAGTTTCAGGTACATCTGCAAAGAAGCTTCAGGTAGAAAAATTTCAGCCAGCTACCAAGGATTATGTGTCACTTCCCTCCTTTTAAATTCCGGGATATTTACTTCTGAGGTCTACGACAGGCCCCCGAAGTGGCAAAAAAAAACCCACAATCCACTGCCGTCCAGTGCTCACATTCAGGCCACCTAGACCACGCTGCTCCTGGTCACCAGTTATCTATAATGCCCCTGAATAAGATCACTGGATAGGCCAAGATATCCTGGTTATGCAGGATTCAAGCCCAAGTCGGGGAGGGGCTTCCCCTCTTTTGGTATTGCATCTCCACTTCCCTCCTTGCCCCTTGAGCTTTCACTTGAGGCCTCCTGCTCCAAGGACCCAGCATCCATCATGGCTTGAGAGGGAGGCAAAGTCAAGAGACAAGTACCCTGCAGAATGCCTACCTGCCTCCTTCAATGGCCCCTTCAGTTTTGTTCTGGGCCAGGCTGCTCTGCCTGACAGTGTCGCAGTGAAATTTCTCTGGAGAGGCTCCTCAGTCCTTCATGCAAATAGACCCTTCCTGAAGGCTTCCAACAAGTCCAGACATGCCCGAATCCCATTTGGAGGTTGCCAAGGCTCAAGGTCAGACACCAGGTTCCTAGTAACTATTAGCCACCTACTATGTGCTAGGTGCTGGGGATCCAAAGATGATGGGCTCCTGTCATCCAGGGGCTGCTATGTGAATTCAGCCTCTTTGAGGCTGGCCAATCAAGCCGTTACCGAGTTGGCACAACTTCTGCTGAAAGGTTATATCAAGGGTGCGAACTTATCACCATCTTAGCAGAAATCCTCCTCTCTGTATAACTAGGAGTTTTTTACCAAGGTTCTCATTGACGGCTCCTCCTGAGCATTCTTCAGGTTCTTACCTGACCATGTAGCTCTGTCTTTCCATCAGTAGCAGCAGCATCGCTTCCCTATTCTACTCTTTGTTCTTGACCCAGACTTCATGCCATTTCTCCTTTCATATTTCTCCCCTCAGATGCAGAGAGGTGGGGGGCTATGGGGAAGAGAAGAAAGTGTAAAAGCTGTTGAGGATTGTGTACGAAATAAATACACAAACAAACAAAACGCTATACATTCTTCCTCTTCTTTTTTAAAAAATAAATGTTAATTGTACTTTTTTTTATTCATTTTATTTAAACTGAAAAAGAAAGAGTTATTTTTTGGTTCAACTCAATATAAGACCTACTGTAATGTAGCTTACATCACAACTTAATGCAGAAACGGTGCATTCTTTTAAGTGAAGAACCCAAGTGAAAACTAATGTAAAATTAAAAATATAGAAATGGCTTTGCACCCAATTTATGAATCTTTTTTTTCCTGATTCTGTTCTCTGCTGTTAGGTAGAAAAGGGAATTTTAAAAAATCCATAAAGCAATCAGCTTTCTTTGGATAACTAAAAAGTCTTCTCGTTGGTGTCCATCTCTTCCTTACATGTGCAGTTTCTGTGGGAAAAGTGAGGTGAAAGACAGAATATCATCTTTTGGGGGATATATATTGGCTTTACATGAGCATGTGGTCAATTTTGAAGGCAGACTTCCAGGACGTATTTTAGTAAGAAGCTTGAAAGATAAGTAGATGAAAACGTCCAGCAAAATACAGTATTTTCAGGGCTCGATGAGTTATGACCCAGTATTTCTTCATTGTTCATAACCCCCTCCATTGAGCACATAGGGCCTTGAACATAGTAGGGGTCAGGGAGATGCTTGTTAATTTTAGTTACAATTGGATCCTCCCAGTCTCTCTGTGGCTTGAACCTCCCGACCTGTGTTAAATGGCAGAGGAAAAGGAAATAAGGTACTTGGTAAAAATAAAAAGAAGTCATTGATAAAATATTTATTTGTTCCTGAGTTTATTATTTTATTCAAAAGCCCGGGAGGTGACCAGCCTAGAAAGTGGTAGTAAACTGTGCTGTTAACTCCATTTACATTTTCAGAGAAGCTGGGATCCGGGTTTTCAAGTTTGTTATGGGATTTTATGCAAAACAATATGCAAATCGATAGCATTCTACGAATTCTGTCTGTTTTCCTGCCTCTCTCCTGATCACAAACAAGAGAGGCAGGCGCCGGACTCCCTGGGCGTGGGGCAAACCCGGAGGGCTGACCGGCCTGGGGGAAGGGCTGTCCCGGGGGCGGTCCCGGGGCGGGGCCTGGGCGGGGCCGGTGACGCGTCGAGTCGGCCGGCTCAGAGGCTGGACCTCATCCTCTCCCCGCCTGGGGCCGCCGCCGCACCAAGGGCGGCTCGGCATCTCCAAAAGGGGCCCCCTCACTCCTCGCTGGGGCAGTCCGGCGCTGAGTCGTGGAGCCCGGCACAACTCCCGCTGGCCCCTGAACGGGATCCCCTCCTCCCCAGAGTTGCGAGCAACTTTCCCCTCTCCCTGGCGCCGCGGTGGCTCGGGGACCGTGGCCGCCGCAGGTAGCTGAACCCAGGGCCAAGTTCCGCGCGCCTCAGCTGAGCGCGCGCGCAGGTCGCTCCCTCTCCGGGTGCACACTGGGGGTCCCCGAGCTCGGCTCTGCGGGCGAGATGCCCCTGGGACACATCATGAGGCTGGATCTGGAGAAAATCGCCCTGGAGTACATCGTGCCCTGTCTGCACGAGGTCGGCTTCTGCTACCTGGACAACTTCCTGGGCGAGGTGGTGGGCGACTGCGTCCTGGAGCGCGTCAAGCAGCTGCACTGCAATGGAGCCTTGCGGGACGGCCAGCTGGCGGGGCCCCGCGCCGGCGTCTCCAAGCGGCACCTGCGGGGCGACCAGATCACGTGGATCGGGGGCAACGAGGAAGGCTGCGAGGCCATCAGCTTTCTCCTGTCCCTCATCGACCGACTGGTCCTGTACTGCGGGAGCCGGCTGGGCAAATACTACGTCAAAGAAAGGTCCAAGGTAGGACGCACGCGGGCGCCCCGCCGCTGCAGCAGCCCGTGGGGACCGGGGACGTGCGCAGTCGGTTGTCTTTCGCCTTCGCAGGGCTGCAATTGAACTTTAGTTTTTAACCATGAAACAAGAAGTCCGCCTGGTCCCCACCCTTCTCACTCCCCGCCACGTTTGGACAGGTTTTTAGAAGCATAATGTATGGCCGAGACACACATGAACGCATGATCTTAAATGTCTACTTTAAAATCACTTAATCTTGCCCTTCAGCCCTTCATTGTGTTGAGAGGGGATTCCAACAAAAGCACTCTTAAGGACTTCTAGAGACAGTTGTGATTTCACAGTGAGGCATTTGGTTTGTGGAGTTTGGCAGGCATGGGAAGCTTGACCTGTGAAAGAGTAAAGCTCTCCTTCGCTTTTGAGAGCTGCCCTTGGCTTGTTGTACCTAGGACATTATTAGATCATCTACTTATGTGAAAATTCTCTCCTGGTGCTGAGCCCCAGCCACCACTAACCTTTCCTAACTACCAATTTCTGGGGAAATCCACTCAGAACAACTAGTTAAGTGATCAGGAGAGTGTAGTCAGGCACCTCTGGAAAGAAACCATGTTTTTGTTCCTACAGCCAGAAGTCACTCCCTGAGTGGTCATTTATCTTGGAAACATTTACAGGTAGATTGGCAGAAATATGGGAACATGGAGTACCATGATACTTGTGCATGTATATTACATTGGGGTAGTCCAGCTACTCAGTCTTTTGTATAAATGATGATCCAGCCAGTTTTCCAGGGCAGTTCTGAGAGTGAGCTGTACCGCTTTTATTGTGGACTGGGCAAGGGGCACTCAGGACTGTAGAAAACTTTTAACACAGTGAGGCAAGACATACTACCGTGAGAAGGAAGGTGAAAATCTACCTGCATACCATTCTATAGCACTATATGTATTTCTCAATATAAGATTGATCTTGTGATAAAACACACCACTGTCGTCTCATTTGTCCCATAAGCTGAGAGGAACACTCTTAATAAAGGGCAAGAGTTGACAGCTGGAAATGTGTAGAAATGAAGCGGTTGGGTTGGACGAGTGGAGTAGAGGAGAAATAGATTGCTGTATACCTTTCAACCAGGAGGACATGGTTAGAATATCTGAAAACATTCTTATTAATAGGATGCAAGTAAAGAAACTCTTAACAGAAAATGCTGCTTCCTAAATTTTATTTTGATTAGGGGAAAATTCAGTTAGCTGGATTCTGTAGAAGATTAATGGTAAAGTGCTTCTTGACTCTTGTTCCATCATTTTGGTGATGGAGTAAAAAGCCATTTGTCTTGATTAGTTTTGTTTTTGTACTAAATGACCACAACTTTGGGGTTGGGGGGAAGGGGAATGCTAGCCTCAGTATTGTAGAGATGCCTGTACCTTCAACCTTGAACAGCAAATGGCTTCTGATCAGTTTTTTAAAGTTTCTTTTGAATTTAGGTGTTAGGAATTTTGCCCCCAGCATTCTAGGAACATAATGTGCTCTGAGGGAGATCACAATTAAGTGATAGAAAGAGGTCATAAACATACTTGAAAGTTAGGTTTTTTGGTTTTTTGTTGTTTTAGCTTTGACTTAATGGACAGTGGTAGGGTTTTAGGCTAGAATTTAACTCCACAAATTGAATGAAAAGCACTATATACATCTGGGAAAGGGGAAAAAAAAGATCTCCAGATAGAATCCTTCAATTATGGTTTAGCTTCTGGGTAGAACAAATAACTTTTCAGTTAACCCTTTCAGAAAATGACTGAACTGGAAGGAGAAAATTCATCTTTTGTCCGCTTAAGGAGCATGTGCCCATATCTTAATTTCCAGCTTTCCTTTTCGCCGTTTGCACAAAGCTCTTTATTTCTGCCCTTTAGAAAAATCACCTCTAGATTAGGATATTCTCTGGCCATCTAGAACCAAATGTAAATAAACCAAGCTTGAGCAAACAATTCTTACAAACAAATTTTTTCTAAATGAAGAAGTCTCTTTTTTAAGTATAATCCTTCGTAATGTCTTCTGACCCTGGGTCTCTTACTTGATGTTCATTATTAAAACATTGTAGAAACATATTACATGTCTAAATGATTTATGTTAGTTCCTCCTTAGTTTAACCTTATTTACTTCTCTTCCCTCAACTGAGTGCCTTACTCTGTGCTGCTTCCCAGAGGAGTAATATGGACCCAGTTTACTGCTGCATCCTTCAAGCAGGTTTCAGTAAAAACTAAACTTTTAAAAGGCAGAAGTTGTACCTTTATTTTAAAAATTTATTTGTAACTTTTTATTATGGAAATTTTCAAACATATATAAATGTAGAGTGGCTAGTATAATGAGTTCCCATCACCCATTTTAAACAATTGCCAATATATACGTTTACATATTTTAGACCAATTGTTTTTTAGGTACTTTATAATTTCTTGGTGCTCTGCTTATCAGTGCTTAAGTTCTAATCACTTTTTCCCCTGAACTTTTAAAGGTCATTGGGTAATACAATCATGCCCTTTATCTCAATGAAACAATAGTAGAGGCATTGGAAATAAAATAGGAATATATACTGGGCCTAAAGCTGAAATTGTGGAAACATATAGAAAGAAATATTGAAGGGTTCCCCTCCCTGCCACAGAAGTTGTTACTGAGCAGAGTTTATCTACCTCTGCTTTGTTGGAGAAAAATCCAAGGGTGCTGAAGACTCTCTGGGGAAGTCGTTTCTATGATATACAGCTGTATGGTGCCCCCTAACTTCAAGCCTGATCATTGCTTTCAGGCTATCAAAAGCTTTCTTATCTTACTCCCTTTTGGAGAATTTAGACCATATCCAAGATAAATATTGGCCATCATTTGCTCCTTTTGCTTTGGCTGCCTGGATCTTGGAAATGGCTTTTTTCCAGAGAACGTGTAATTTACAGAACTCAAAGTCCTGCTTGAAGCATTTCACTGTGGACTCACTGGTTAGTAACTCTAATAATAACTACCTTCTAATGAGCGAGTTGCTCTGTCTGGCACTGTGCTAAGCACTTTTCAGACACTATCTGTCTGACTTAGTCTTCAGAACCGTAATCTTCGGCAAATTGAGTGATTAAATCATTTTCATAAAGTAAGCAGTAAATGCCGTCTGTCGTAGGGATTGGGGCTTAGACTTGGGGTTCCTAACCTCGTGGCTGTAGGTGAGTTGCTAAGTTTTCCCTAAGTGTAAAATGAGAGATCATACCTTAAAGCTTTTGTGGGGAAATAGCATGAAATAAGATAACGTACATGAAATTCTTAGCAGAATTCAGAGCCTTCATAAATGGTTTAAGGGGAGATTTGGGATTCTAACCCAGCTCTGCCTGACCCCAGAGTTTGTGTTCTGGACTGTCAGGCTCCTCCTTGCCCTCCTTTCATTGATTCAGCAGATGTTCACTCCCTGCGGGGTGCTGTGCAGGGGGTGGGAACACAAAGGTGGACAGGCAGAACCCCTGCCTCCGAGAGCTTACATTCACATATACTTTTGAATTGAAGGATCCTCTAATTCACACTTGATTAATTCTCAAGCTTAAAAAAGACAAAAGACAAAACCTAAACCTTGAAGTGGATCGGTTAAGAACATTTGAAGAAGAAAATGGAGTGCTGTGCTAGTGTTTTCCTAGTGTTATTCGCAGAAAGAGTGTTTGTTAACCAGGTTGGTGGTTAGGATCCCCCCTGGAGCAGCTCTGGCTGATGGGGTTATGGGCTGGTTCTGTGAATCAACAGGTCAGTCCTCCCCTGGAAGCAACACAAAGAAATGAAACAGCAGTAAGTCTGGGTAACAGACAGTGTGTTACAAAGTGGTGGGTTTGTGCCTTTGCTGTTAGAGCAGTAACAGTTTGGGCCCCTCCTCCTGTGATGTCAGGAATATTCCTTACTTGGTGGAATCTATCATGGTTGCCAACTACTTTGAGCAAACCTGGGATAATGCATTTCGAAGATCAGGATCTCTCTCAGGACTCAAGTGTCGGAAGTGCTGTTGGGGTTCCCAGAAGACTGGAGCCGTGAGCTAGGAACCAGTGAGTCCTTAACATCCAGGACAGCTGGTGTGTCAGTTCTTTCTCTGGTGTTCAGTGGCCTCCACCTGTGCTTCTCTGCTTGTCCTCTTTATGTCTTCCCGCTCTTGCTGCCTTTCCGTGCACCAGGCTCAGGATGGCTGCCCCACAGTGGCCCATCTCAGCCTCAGTTTGAGTTCAACAGACTTGATTAATGTTCTAGAATCCCTGTTTTCATTCCCTGGGGGAAAGTATGATGGTCTTGCCATGGCTCAGGGGACCTATCAGCCTTGGGTGGTGGTAACCACCCAAGGGGGCGCATATATCACAAATACAGTTGCCAAGGCCCATGGGAGGTGCAGTTCTCAGAGCACAGGATTTGAAGACTAGACATCATAAATGGTGTCTCTGCAATTAAAATCTTAAAAATTTATCTGTGAATGACGTATTTTAGGGGGAGGAGGCACTGAGTTTGAAGCACTGGAACATCCTGCTATAAGGATGTGAGGACTCTTATGAAAGGTTTTGTATTTAAAAGTAACTTAACTCTTGGAGGAAGGAAATAATTTACGGAATACAGCTTCAGAGACAGTGAAGCACGTGTCTCCATTAGGTGAGTTTTCAGAGTGTTTTTGGTCTGTTTTGTTGAATGACGCTTGGGAACAAAGGAAAGAAGGTATGTATGTGTGTTTATAATTTCTCTTGCTCAATTTTGGGCCACTGGCCGCTCCACTGTAACTCTGTCCACTTGCAGTGAAGCGGGAAATCAGGGGGTATCAATTTAATTTATTCATTCACATGTCTTGCACTGTGGTAGATCTGTACGTGGGTGGGATAAAAGAGGTGTAAAGTGATTATAACAGCACTTAAAGAAGTAGGCTGGAAGTTGAGTGGTATGAAATATGGTCATCAACTTTGCTTTCTCTTTTTCTTGATAAATAGTCCACTTTTACACTGACTGGTCATTTTTGTTTCTCTGGGCTTTCTCCAGTTTCT